TGTCATTTTCTTCTCTTTTTTTATATTTCCCCCTTCGTTCACTTTTTTTTCTGTCTGTCGTTCTTATGTATGCCTGTTCGTTCACAATTTTTTGGCTGGTTGTTCGCGTTTTTTTGTTGATTTACCTATTGTTTGTTTACAGATTGTTCAATATTTTTTTTCATTCATTCATTTATACTCTGTCAATTCATTCATTCATTCATTCATTCATTCATTCGTTCGTTCGTTCATTCATTCATTCATTCATTCATTCATTCATTCCTTTATTTATTCATACATACATTCATTCGTTTGTTCGTTCGTTCATTCATTCGTTAATCCATTCATTTATTCATTCATTCATTTCTACCTCCATACATCCATCCATCCATTCATCCACATTCATCCACATTCATCCGTCCATTCATCCATCCATCCATCCATCCATCCACATTCAACCCAAATGCAACTTGGACAGCGACGTTGCCGATGTTGACGACAGCAAATTGGAATGTTGCGATCGCAGCTGCTGTTGTTGTTGCTGTTGAGAATTTTGTTGTTGCTGCTGTTGCAGCAACATTCCGGAAAACCCATTTTGCAGGTATCGGGAGGGCGTGATGGGTCTGACCGGACTGGGGTAGTTACACGGACTCTGAATGACGTCACTGCCAATGACAGACGGAGGTAGGCCACCTCGCGACAACATCCGAATTTTCGCGGCTTCCAGATTGGCTTCGAACTGCCTGCGCCTTTGAAATTGTTGGAAGTGATGAGACGGAGTCGTCGGTGTCGAGACCAGTGATGAGTTGTTTTGTTGGTTGTCGGGTGATCCGAATTTGGCGGCTACTGGCGTGTTGAGTCGTTTCTCGTATTCGTCGAGTAGTTCCGAGACAACCGTGTAGCCTTGCTGCTGTGAGACATCACGAGCTGTTGAGCCGTTCTGCAATAAGTTTGTTGATCGGTTTTTGGTGTTGTTGTTGGATTGGCTGTTGGTTGATTGGTTGTTGGTGTTGTGTTGTTGTTGTTAGTTGGATAGTGGTTGTTGGTGTTGTTTGATTGGATGGTTGTTGGTGTTGTTTGATTGGTTGTTGATTGGTTGTTGGTTGTTTGATTGTTTGATTGGCTGTCGTTAAATAAATGAATAAAATGTTTTATTTGGCGTTAAAAAATAGTAAATAAAAGAACAGAATGGCTGTGTTGCATTGTCAACCAACTCTTGGGGTAACATATAATTCAACAGTGTCTGCTACTTTACATAACATTAGAGCCACTCTTACTGATTTTACCAATACTACTACTCTAAATAATAATTATTTTAATGTTAACATTATATTATTAATATTTAATATTTTATTATTAATAATTATATTATTAATTTTACCAACTTTGGTAGCTAGGGTAGGGTCGGCGCCGTGGACCAATAGGAGAGTGACGATTTCTTGGTGACCAATCTGTGCCGCCATGTAGAGGGGCGTGAAATTATCCTGGTGGGCGTGGTTATGTTAATGAACTGCGTGTTGTGAGGTTGTGTTTATGTTAATGAGTTTATGTTAACGACGTCATGTTATTGAAGTTTGGTTATTTTTATTTTAACAATGCTTGTTTCGCGAGAGAATATTTAAAATAACGATCAAACACATTCAAAATTTAGCAAAAGTTTACCCCCAATTAATTATCCAATCAAATTACTGGAAAAACTAATCAATAATCATGAACTGACGTCATGGCAATTTGATTGGGCGTTGACGTCCGCTTTTTCCTGTAGCAGTAGTTTGACCATTTCCTTGTGACCCAACAAGCAAGCTACATGCAAGGGGGTGTGGCCTTTCTGTGTCAATCAAATCATCTTATTAATATTCATGAGATGATATATATGTATATATGTATATATATATATATATATATATGTATATGTGTGTGATCAACATTATTGAAATTAGTAAAATAGGGTTGAGTATTTGCGAAATGATTATTAGATTGTTGCTAATTTGAATATTAAAATAAGAAGATAACTATTTATGATATGATGACTTGATCATAGTTTATCCTTATATGATAATGACATGATAATAAGGTGATTAATATTCATGATATGGTAATAAGTTAAGAGCGTTGTGGGTGTGTTCTTTTTTCTTTATTTTTTCAGATTCGCTGTGTCTGAAATGATTGATTGTTTAATTTTGCTCAAGTTCATTGTGTGTCATCATTTTTTATATCATCATCATCATCATCATCATTTTGTTGTCGTCATCGTCATAGTCATTATCATCACCATCACCGTCATGCTATCATCCTCACCACCATCATCACCATCTTCTTCACCATCTTCATCACCACCATCGTCATCACCATCATCATCACCACCATCGTCATCAATTAAGACGGTGGGCTTTTGTACGTCATCAACCAGGGCTAGCAGGAAATAATTATAAGACAGAGAAGGACGAGGACGACGACGATGATGATAAAAAATATGATATATATGATATGATAGTATATATATATATATATATATATTATATAATAGTATATATATATAATATAGTATCATAATAATGATAATGATGATATTGAAATTGATAAAGCGGAAATTCAGTGATGAAATGATATCCACAAACCCGAAAGAACGATACTAAAGAAAAAAACGAATGATGAAATCATTGCGCTGACATGACCGATGACGAAGTTGACGGAGAAAGAAGATGATGACGTCATTAGTGACGTAGACAATGAAGCAGATGATGCAGAAGCAGGCGATAGATGATGACGTTGATAATCATAATCATGATCATGATGACGTAGATGATGATGACGACAACAACGATGATCGAAGTCATTAATCAGAGGCTGCCGTTTTGCACTGTCACTAAAGCATTCTGCATTGGTTCATATTTCTAGCGTCATAGTCGTCATCATCAAGCTATATGTTTGGTTACTATGGCAACTACCGTCATCATCATCCTCCTTCTCCTCTTCCTCCTCCTCCTCATCATCCTCCTCCTTCTCCTCATCATCATCATCGCATTTTCTAGATGACGTAGATGATGACGTATGCGTTAGTCACAATGTATTTCGTCATCGTCATTATCAGCGTTGTCATCAACATCATCATCATCATCAACAACATTATCAGGGTTGTCATCATCATCATCATCATCATCAGGGTCGTCATCATCATCATGGTCAGGATCTGGTTGTAGTCATTTATCAACTTGATCTTTTGCAACATTAACTACGCTCTGGGCATTATTTTAATCATCAACACTATTATCATCATCGTCGTCGTCGTCATCATCATCATTATCGTCATCATAATCATCATTATCATCATCATCATCATCATCATCATCTAGGTTGTCATTAAAAGTGCAGGTGTAAAAGAATGACTTACGCCACGTAATTTGCTGTTTTTTTTTTCACGAGCATACAAACACATACACACAAACAAATATACACACGCATATTCACACATACAGATACATGCACTCACAAACAAACGCATACAGTCATATACAATCACATACAATCACATACAACCACATACAAAAAAATACAAACCCATACAAAAAATATAACCAAAGATGTAAAATAATCACCAAATATATAAAATGTTAGCCAAAGATATAAAATACTAACCAAAAACATAAAATAGTAACCAAAAACATAAAATAGTAACCAAAGATATAAAATAGTAACCAAAGATATAAAATAGTAACCAAAGATACTAAGTTAACAGACGCCCCCCTTCTTATCAGCTCAGTAGCGACGTCTACTTGCCCGGATTTGGCGACGAAATGAAGCGCTCTTAATCCAGCCTGTTGATTGGTTGGTTGGTTGATTTGGGGAGGAGTTAATTAATTGATTGATTGATTGGTTAATTTCAGATGATTAATTGATTGATTGATAGATTAAGAAGTAGCATAGCTGTCTGAGAAGTTTATTTGTTTGGGTGACTGTTCGAATCAATCAGTCGGTCGGTCGGTCGGTCAGTCAGTCAATCAATCAATTAATCAATCAACCGACCAATCAACCAGCCAACCAACCAACCAACCGAATTATAAGAGTCCACAGGTACTCCTTCATTCAGGAAGGTCCTCACCCGATCGATGTCTCCTTCGTACGAGGCTTTCAACAAGGAACTGGTCTGATGGTGACGATGATGAAGAAGAAGATGATGATGATGAAGATGATGACGAAGATGACGATGATGATGAAGAAGATGACAAAGATGACGATGGTAATGAAGAAGATGATAAAGAAGATGATAATGAAGAAGATGATAAAGAAGATGATGATGATGATTATGACGATGATGCACAAATACAGACATACACAAAAACAAAAGTTCTTATACCCTATACAAAAAATACAAACAGACAAAAAAAACAATTAACAACAAAAGTTCTTATACCAAATGCAAAAAATACAAATACAAACATACAAAAAAAACAATCAACAACAAAAGTTCTTATACCCAACACAAAAAATACATAGCAAATACAAAGAATTATACCCAAAAATACCAGGTTAGTTTGAATTCATTTCAAAATACTCTAAACCTGGCAAAAATACAAACTTAAAAAATGCAAGCAAATATAGCAGTGACAGCGTATAAATCCTTATATAAAAAGCTACACAACATGCATTTTCAGTACAAAGACATTGATCGCCCTGTGAGACACGGCAAACAGAGGTGTGTGTGTGTGTGTCTGTGTGTGTGTGTGTGTCTGTGTGTGTTTCTGTGTGTGTTTCTGTGTGTGTGTGTGAGTTTGTGTGTGTGTTGATGTGTCTTGGTTTGTTTGTATGTATGTGTATGTTACACGTGTGTGTATGTTACACGTGTGTGTGTGTGTGTGTGTGTGTGTGTGGGTCTTTGTGTGAGTTAGTTTGTATTTGTATGTGTGAGTATGAATGTGTGAAATTGGATGAATAGATGTTGGTATGGATGGATGGATGTGTGGAGTGGATGGATACCTAGTCATGGATAGCTGGGTAGATGGATGGATAGATGGATAGATAGATGGATAGATAGATGGATAGATAGATGGATAGATAGATGGGTAGATAGATAGATAGATGGATATTCCTCAAAAAGATGGCAGTTTATATTTTATACGCAAACAATAACACTGAAGACAAACTAAGAATTTTATGAAATAAATAAAAGACATCGCAAAGTATTTTAACCTTTATTTTATGAAAAATAATTTTAATTAAAAAGCAAATAATAAAATCATTAATAAAAAGAATAATAAAAATAGTTATTATTATTTTTATTCCTAATAGTATGTATGTGCGTGTATGAAAAATTTATACAAAAGATGTTTATATCTTTATTTAACCACATAAGAACCGTGTGGTATGATTTTGTATTTAAATATGTAAGTCTGTATGGGTGTGTGTATATATATATATATATATATATATATGTGTGTGTGTGTGTGTGTGTGTGTGTGTGTGTGTGTGTGTGTGTGTGTGTGTGTACGTATTTGTGTGTGAATGTGTGAGTGTGAGAATTTGAAACGGATCCGATATGCTTAAGCGGATTTAGATTTCTAACCACACGTTTGCTTCTTCATGTTGTTTTTTCCTTCATGTTGTTTTTTCTTTGTTTTTGATGTGTTTGTTTTTGTTTGTCTTTGTTTTGTTTGTTTTTGTCTTGTATGTTTTTGTTTTGTATGTTTTTGTTTTGTATGTTTTTGTTTTGTATGTTTTTTGTTTTGTATGTTTGTGTTTGCGTGTTTTTGTTGTTTCACGCATATGCAGTTGTACATGCACTAGCTCACATGTACGTACGTACACGGGCGGGAGCGTCCAAGCGCAATCATCCTTATCAGATTATTTGTATGTGTATTTATTTACGTATTTATACCCGGTATTCATGCATACATACATACATACATACATACATACATACATACATACATACATACATACATACATACATACATACATACATACATACGAAACGAAACGAAACGAAACGAAATAATTTATTTGACCTCAATAAAGAAAATAAGGTGCAGGTTGACTGTGAGGAGTTAGTATAAAACTCATCGAGCACAGCCACCTAAGCCAAAAACTTCAGAATCTCTGAATGAAATATGTTAACCTTCAGATGTTACTAATTGATTACAAAAACAAAATCATCGGGCACAGCCATCAAACAAAAAACTTCAGAATCTCTAAATGTTATATATTAAGTTCACGGTGTTACTAGTTGTTCGTAAAAATAAAATTATCGAGTACCACAAAAAACTTTAGATTCTCTAATTGGAGTATATTATATTTACGGTGTTACTAACTGTTCATAAAAATATTATCATCGTGCACCACAAAAAACTTCAGATTCTCTAGATGGAATGTATTGGCTTTGAGATGTTACTAATTGATCCTAATAATAAGTTAGGTCTATATTTCTCTATATACAAAACTGCATATAGAATACCTGATTGAATCTATCTATATAAGCTATAGATAGAAGAAAATAGGATCACATACGTATATCAAAATATCTACGTACACGTCAGCACACACACATACATACAACTGAGCATACATGACGTCATAAATATTTTATAAAAATGTAATTTATATTCTTAAAACTAGTGATTTTAATTAATCAAACTAATAAATGCTTTCAAATGATAGTTAAAGTTCTGCATGTTCGATCTGTCATAATTAAATCCTTTATTTAATAAAAAATTCCAAATTCTGGGTCCTCTGCAAATGATGTGTTGATGTAAAATTTTCGTTTTTGATTTGTTGGAACAGATGAAATTGATGCGCCTTTGATTCTTCGTTCGTTTATAATAACCGTCAAAAATAGGAGGTAGTTTACCAGTCAATTGTTTGTCGATGAATTTTGCCGCGTGATATGTACTCATTTGATCGAAAGTCAGATTGCTTGTCGTGGCGAATAGCGGTTGTGAATGGGATTGAGCTTTGGAAAGTGTGATTGTTCGCATCGCTCTCTTCATGATTATTCTTATTGGATTTGTTGTAGTTGGATAGGCGCTTGACCAGACTGTATTGCAGTATGAGATATATGGAGTACAGATGGCTTTATATAGCATGTTAAGAATTCTTTTAGGCAAGAAAAATTTTATTTTATTTAATAGACCAATTGATCTTGCTAGTTTTGTGCATACATACATACATACATACATACATACATACATACATACATACATACATACATACATACATACATACATAAATACATACATACATACATACATACATACATACATACATACATACATACATACATACATACATACATACATACATACATACATACATACATACATACATACATACATACATACATACATACATACATTGAATTGAATTGAATTGAATACATACATACAAACATTTAAACATGTAAACATACGTATAGAGAAATGTATATTTGTATGAGTGTATTCTTATGTATTTATAGACATTTATACAAAATCTATTTTCGCCATACAACCTTAGCGAACGATCGATCGATAGATGTTGCATGTGTTAGTCGCTTTGTATGTATATGTATGTGTGTGTATGTATGTATGTATGTATGTATGTATGTATGTATGTATGTATGTATGTATGAATGTATGTATGTATGTATGTATGTATGTATGTATGTATGTATGAACCCATAATTGGTTAGAACTATAGGGAAGTAATAATCATATGCGGGTTCAGCTTTAATCTATGTTAAACGCTTCGCACAGACAGGTATTTATGTATGTATGTATGTATGTATGATCATTTGGCATATTTCCTTAAGAAATTTAAGGGTGTTGGGATCCATCGAGCCAAGAACCTCGATGCATATTGGCAAGAATTCCATCGAGGGGAAGGCGTTCCCATATTTTTTCATTTTCTCGTCCGCTGCCCTGGCCGCGGCCAAACCGCATTCTTTACTTGTCAGGTTTACGTATCGTTCGGCGAGGGTGCCAGGGACCGTAACATCCCACACCAAACATCTGCCGGCTCTCCAAGGTATTAGCGTGCATCTGTCCGGGCGCCTACCATCATGCGCAGAAATGCCGGATGGTTCCTTGAGAACCGGGATTGAAGCCTTGGAGAAGAGCCGACAAATGTAATCGTTTAGCGCTGAGTGACGTAGTTGACGGCCCCCACCCATGCGACAAACTAAACCGTGGTGCCCAAACTCGTCCGCCTCAGCGCCACATCGGCACGTGTATTTATTCTGAATGACCAGGCCAAGTCTGAAACCAATGGCAAATCTCACAGACTCGTCGTCAAGCCTGGTGCCCACAGAGGTGTTAGGCCACGATCTCAACCACCCACAGCTGGCAACGCTGGACATGGCCAACAAACGAGCGGTGGAAAAGTCGTCGCCGCATGAAGACAACAAATTTTGAAAGATTTTTTTATATTCTTCGTTCAAAATTTGGACGTGCGTACGGTCTCCCGGGGCGGACACTGGGGGAAGAATATCGCGGCAACAAAAAAACCGGTGGAGCAGGGAAGACTGCAGGTCGAGAGTGGCAGCGGCAGAAGAATTATAAACAACGGGAGCCAGCTGAACCACGCTAAGCAACCCCAGCCCACCAAATCGCACCGGCAGCTGAGCCTGGAACCAACCACTGTCAGTCACTTGAACATTGCAAATCGACGACAGGGCGGTGCGCAGGGCTCCGTCAAATTTGCCCAATTTAGAAGGGTCAATGTGTTTAGATGTACGCAGGAAGTACATCAATTTGGGCAAACTGAGGGCATTGCGGATAATAGTCAAGGCATCATGGGCCGAAAGACAGGAAACACGACCCAGGGTGAATTTAAGCTCAGAGAGCTTTTGGTCAAAAAACTTTATTTGATAATCGCCCTCGACCAAGGGTGTGCCTAAAAAACTCAGTTCTGATGCACCGACTCTGGGTATTTCAGCCAGCGCATGTGGCACCTGAAATAAACTTTGGCAGTGAAGTTCGCATTTTTTAATGTTTAACTCTAAGCCAATTGCAGCGGAGTTATGCTTCAAATATTTGTAGCTATCGGCCAGAGTTGGACCGTCCGAAGCTATGCTGATATCATCCAGATCATCGCAAACGAAAGTGGACGAAGTTTTCTCTAAGAGTGGATGAAAAGTTAGTGCGAACAACAAAGGACCAAGGGGATCACCCTGCTATACCCCCTCGGACGATTCTACAACCCAAGAATGGTAGCCAAGGGAAGAGACTCCGCCATAGGCAGAATGGCAAAAATTATAGACCTTGGGGCAAAAAAGTTTGAATTGGGTTAAGGAGTTTAGTGTGTCGTCGATTGGCAAGGGGCCTGAAAAAACATCCTTAAGGTGCTGAGGTCGTAGGCCATCCAGGCCTCCAGAAGAACCGTTTTTGAACGATTTAACGGCCCTCAGCACCTCGGCGGGAGAAACGCAACCAGCCGTTGGTGTCAATGAGGATGATGATGATGAAGATGAAGAAGATGATGATGAAGATGAAGATGAGGATGATGATGATGATGAGGATGATGATGATGATGATGATGATGAATATGAGGATGATGATGATGAAGATGAAGAAGATGATGATGAAGATGAAGATGAGGATGATGATGATGATGACGACGACGATGATGATAATAGTGTTGAAGAAAAAGAGGAGAAAAAAAGAAGAACAAGAACAAGAAGAGGAAGAAGAAGAAGAAAATAAAGAAACCCACACAAGAAGTCGTTTTATTGAGAATCTGCTTCTTTCTCGATCCCATATCTTCATCATCATCGTCTTCCTCATCCTCCTTCCCATTATTATTATTATTATTTATATTATCATTATTATTCATAATATTATTATTATTGTTTTTATTATCAGCGTAATCATCATCAACACCGTCACCGTTGTTTTCGCTAATTCCATTGCAGGCATTCGAGGACATCTTTATTGTTATTATTGTTATTATTATTACTATTATTATTGTTGTTATTATTATTATTGTTATTATTATTAATTTATTTTCAATTTTTTCCGTATTTTTCTACTAATTTTATATTTAATTCGTTTAAAAAGGCTTTTTTGATTGAATTAATTGAAACAATGTTCGTCTTAAATTAATTTATGTTTCGCGGACCATAATTAGACATAATAATTTCTGTTAACTATTATTATTAATTATAATTATTTATTATTATTTATTATTATTATTTATTATTTATATTATTTATACAGTTCGTTAGTATTTATGAGCAATACATCACATGGAACTGGAAATAAGTGAATGTCTGTATGGCTGGAGAACGTCATCTATTTAAGATGTTCAAGTTATATGTATGTATGTATGTATGTATGTATGTATGTATGCATGTATGTATGTATGTATGTATGTATGTATGTATGTATGTATGTATGT